AGGTTTTCTAAAACGGAAAAGGAAATAGATAATAAATCATAATTAACTATTAAGGATGTAATTGACCCTTGTATACTTAGACCTAATTTATCCTTTCTTTTAACATCTTGATTTTTCTTTTCGAAACATAGCTTGTTTTCTTCATACTGGAGTGTGATTAGTAATTGCATCATTTCATTGTGTAGCTATTGACCACTAGAAGTAGAATTATTAAAGATTTTCATAGGAATATAGAACTATATATTCCCAAATGGCAATTATGAGTATGTTTGATGAACCCAGGGCTTTCTCAAATTAAGACCAGTGCTTTTGTTTATTTATTGAAGTCATCATGACACTTTGACTTATGCTGACTTCTAATTTTCTGTTAATGCAGATATGAACGCAGGAGAAGTAAGAGCACATCTCGCAGTCCAGGTGGATACCGTGGCCGTTACAGGGATCGAAGTCGGAGCCGTAGTCCAATGCGGAGCACTAGTCCAACAGATAAGAGACCTCCTTTGAGTGAGGACTTAAAATCTCGCCTTGGTCCCCGGATCAGTGAGCAGTCATCACCTAACAGAGGAAGATTAAGATCCAGGTCCATGAGCCGTGGGTCCTCTCACTCAAGATCTTCAGATGCTTCACTAAAGCGCCGTAACAAAATACCTTCAAGATCTCCCAGCCGCTCTACATCAAGCTCGCCATCTGGACAGAGGGGTTTGGTATCCTATAGAGATTAACCCTGGACAAGTTCTGGCAGTGGTTTTCTCTGCGTTGAGTTAATGAGAAAGCTTATCCTCATCCGTGAGGCTGTGATTTGCATTTTCCAGGTTTGAACTGCATGGGCTAGTTGGCATATCACTTTTCCATTATCCATTCCAAGAACTCGATGTGACTATTATAAGTTACTAGCTGCTAAACTGGGTGATTTTGAACGGTTCTGTTTGTTTGAGAATATGTAGCAAACTTAATTTTGTTTCTTTCAAGTGTCATTAGCTCGAACGGAGCATGTTAGTTCTGAACGAGATCCCAGCGAATCCAATTTCAATCAATCTGCGTACGATGTTCAGTTAGCGAAGCCCTTGATTGACGGAAATTATGCACAATTCTCTTATTCGTAACTGGGAAAATCTGTGGTTGCTCGTGATGCTTCGAATTACCTTTTAAGATTCTAGTGGAATTTAATAACATTTTGTAATGATAAAATTAGTGTATTTAGTCATTTCTCTTTACTATATTAGACTGTTTTCTCTTCAACATGATACTTCTGAAATAACAGTGTTGGCTGATCCAGAATCAGATCAATATGACATTAAAGAAGGATGTTTGAACTGCAAGCTAAATTATTTTCATTTTGGTTCAGATCGGACTGGTATTTTCTGATTCTATTAGGCTTAAACTAAAACTAAATATTTTTAAAAGATTAATAAGATTAAAACAATATCTATTTGTTCATAATTCGATTAGAACTAGATGAAAATGTACCGAAACTTTTTAGCCTTTTTTGCTTATAAACTTGTGCAGGCTCTCTTCTTCCAGTTTCAGGTGTTACAGGGCTCGGAGAGCACCCGCCCGTTATCCTTCAGCTGGAGAGAGTGGGAGGTTTTCGTTGCTCCGTTTCCAGCCTTACGCAATCCCCTCCGGTCTAAGAGAAGCCAGCCCCAAAGCCTAAGCTCGAGGCTCAAACCTCAACTCTCATCTTGGAACGGACGGACCAGATTTTAGACCCTCCGATAGAGCCTAACTTACTGGACAGAACGAATTTCCAGCCGTCTTCAACCGCCCCACATGGGTGACAACCCATTGTTACCAGGCATGGGAAATGTTGATGAGAATGATTATTTTATAGCGAGCAGATCGGAGAACAGTCATTTTCGAGTTCACTTGTATCGTACTGAATACACATACACAAACAAGTAGAATGTTATGTGTTCGTCCCAGCTTCAGAACTCACATTGTACACGCTTATTAGAGGAGAAAAGCACCCTTACATCTAAGAAGAAAGAATATTATTAATACTAAAATTTGGTGGGATCCGTTAGGTTTTCATCGTATAGATGACGCTAAAAAAACCCAATAACAAATTATTGTAGTGACTATTCTCTCTTAGTATCAAATATTATATCGATAAGAACATATATTACACTTAATTTTAACCGAAAAAAGATATGAGTTATTCAATTCTCGACCTCTCTTTTTATAGTGCCCGTTTAGCATTCCCAGCCAATGTGGGACAAACAACTTTTAACTCTACCTTCCAATACTCTGTAACTCAGAAAATTATCCCCTCAAATACAAATTGTTAACCTTCTCTTCTTGCCATTATATATTAACTTTTACGTCATTAAATAAAAATTACAATTTATTTACTTGTCTTCTCTTGCCGATACATATTAACTTTTACTCCATTAAACAAAAATTTCATTGTATGTATATAAATTTGATCACGAAAATCCCTATCAACCTGCCACCCACTTTTACTTTCTCTTACAATCCAGCAACTACAGGTCATTCGATAAAAGTAAACTTTAGACAAATCAAAACAAGTTGTTCGAGTGAAACTGAAAGTTCGAACACAATAATGCAAGAGGATTACATAACTCGGTTCTTGGTACCTAACGAAGTTCCACCTCATTTATGCTATATGCTTGTTCAGGTTTAACTTGTATAAAAATAAAAATTATTGAATGTAATAAATCAATAGAAGAAACTCTTTAACTAGCATTGTTAACGACGAGTATCAGCTGAGCAAATTTAGCAAGCATTACATTATTGGTGATAAACCCATCATAAAATACATCTCAAAGTTAATCTAAATGATGCACCTAAGAATTTAACCTTTTTGCATCTAAGAAGATATGAAGCCTTCCCCAGACTTAGTGCTACATGCTTGACATGGTTCGCTTCCCTTTCGAACACAACACTGATGGGAAATGTCAAAGAAAAGCATAGAAAGAACGCAACAAATCCACCGAGTCTCCAAACCTGTTTAGATAGGTAGACCTTTAGGCACGATTTTATCTTTGATCCACATGTAGATAGGAACCAGCACAAAATAGGTTGCTGCTAGGCCGCCCAATAGGAAACGCATAAGAAACACAAATTTGTTCACAGGCTTTTTAACATCCTCTGTTTTTGGACCAAGCTGCATCAGAATACACACACAAAAAATCTCAACAAAGGATATACACCAATCAGCCTCCACTATTATAAAGCTTCTCGCCATATTCCTCTAAACTTTAGCATTCATGTTAGTACTATACCTAGTTTCATGATGAGCAAATTATTAAGGTTTTGTAAATCAAATCCAGTTTCAATTTAAATCAGTTGTTTTTGTGGCTCTTCTTCAGCAAGTGAAGATACAACTCCATTGTAGAATCGTAAAACATAAGCAGAGTTTGGTTCTATTATGTATTAAATATGTAAATTGTAACTACATTTTATATATTAAATAATTAAAATCTGAGACAAAAATATGAAGAAAATATACTTAAACCAAACAAAACAAAAGATTCAAATCTAAAATCTTGAGAGTTGAACCAAGATCCTTTCAGTTAGATATTTAGAGAGTATTATGGAATTTGCTTAGCTCAATACCAATCAAGAATCCTCAACAAATTCCACGAATTCTTCTTATATATTTGTTCCAATCTTCAACTCTTTTTTAGAGGTTTAGAGATATTGAATCAATCAAAGACACTTATAACACTTATTCCACTTTTGGAAGACTTTAAGAATTGATTGAAACTTTAGCATCGGTTCATGAAGGTACATCTTTAGCAAATTTGATTCTAATAACTACTTTTTTAACACTGTTTCAAAACAATTAGGATGCTTATTGGTGGTTAAGAGTAAATCTTTTAAGTAACAAAAAGATAATGACGTTATTCCTAACTTTAGGATGATTCTTAGGTGGTTAAAAGTAATTTTTCCAAGTAATAAGAAGATAAACACTTATTCACAGCTTTTTATAAGGGCTTATTTATTTCTCCCTAATTTACGTTCTTACCTTCTTATACAATTGTTTATTTTTAAATAAGCACCCAACTGCTTTAAGTGACCTGAAACAGCATTTTAAGTCTTTATTTATTGTTTATTGATGTTAATATACTTTGTCAAGAATCCAACCGGCTTACGACTCAACTCAGGAAATCCTAAATTCAACAGGGGCTGGAGTGAAGCATTTATCTAAAGGATAACCAAAACAGACACCCGAGTGCCCAAAAATCAACTTAGGAGAGAATCAAATCAAATCTCATAGACGTCTTGTGAAGTTGGTAGTAAGAATCAATGGGTCTCAGGGAGAAAAAGTCACCAAAATGGACCAGCAAATCTATTTTTTGTCCTTTCATGTTCTCTTTGTTCATCTGTTCAACGAAGAATCCAAGGTTAAATGTTCTTATTTCATGAAAGAGGTGAGCTAACAAACTATCATTAACCGCAGAAATACTTGAAAGACAGTCAAAGCATCCAAGACAGACCTTACTGGTGATCCTATGTAATATCAACAACTAGGTGAACGAACCAAAAAACAAAATGGATATTAAACCAAATAATGCATACAAGAATACGAATATGATTACCTGCAAAGGAGAGTCTCCGGATGCAGGTTTAACACCTGTAACAGAACATCCCATAATCAATCCATGACGACGAACCCCACGGTACCACTTTGGGCCAATCCTCTTCAGCTGGATATCCTTAAATCCAGCTTTCTCGAACCACTCGATATACTCTTCTTCCTTTGGGAAGAGCATCCAAACATCTGCAAAGAAGCGAGACAGCCAAAATGTTGGGTACACAGGCCCTATGATGCAGGCTTTTCCTCCCAGTTTCAAAACCCTGTATGCTTCCTTGATGCCCCTTTGAGGGTCTGGCCAATACTCAATACTGATAAAAAAGTTACACAGGCCCCATGAGAGATACTTTCAAGAGCATTATATCCTTCCTTCCCTCCCAAAAATTTGTGGCAAAAATTTTTGCAAGGTAATATAAAAATGTACTGCAACAAACCGCAATTGCCTCCTATATGCTCATGTGTTCAAATGGTACATAGTAGCAAATTACAATATGGCTCTTAGGAAAATTAATCCCTAAAATGCATGCAATCATAATAAAGTAGAGTACAAATAAGAAAGGACATGTGATTCGACATATATATCTACGAAACTTTTATACTATGATAATTTGAGAGTACCAGGATTTCCCGCATGGAATATTCCCCAGGTACTCTCAACACTAAGTGTGGGAATATTCGAGGGAGAAACTGGTACTATCAAATTATCGTAGTAGAAAATTTTTTTCTCAACATTCCCCGTGAACATAGGTATACTTGTCGAACCGAGTTAAATCTTGTGTTTTTTCTTATTTGTGCTCTACTTTATTGTGATTGTGTGCATTTTAAGGATTAATTTTCCCAAGAATGGAGAAAGTTATCTAATGACCTAAACAACACATGCATCAAAGACTTTCAAGAGTGAAAATTTAATACATAAAAGAATTTAGACATGGTAAACATGAGCAGAAAAGAAGTTTACCTCCCAGCAGATACATATCTATCAGCGTAGTCAGTACGAAAAAGGAAGATCCTCGGCATCTCCCTCAATTATCTTGCAGTCTTTCAATGGCTCCTTCTGCTTAGCCTTTGCTAGTTGATGTGGAGACTGGTCCAGAATGGTAACATTCTTAGCATCAACATGCTTCACTATACCAAGAGTGGTGAACCCAGTTCCACCACCAACATCCACAACAATCATGTCCCGATGATATAAATCATCAGGTTCCAGCGCTTCATCTATCAGGTCTTCAGTCCAGTGACCAGGGTTTATCACATGGTCATACACAATCGACAAAAATCTGTAAAACCAAAACGCCTCTTTCTTGTGCTGTATGAATCTGGGCTGTGAAGCTGGTCTGGAAGCTGATAAACTGCATTTTGGGGATGAAATGGTTCTTGGCTTCAAGGTTCTTGTGCTAGAGACCAGACCCATGTTCGAAACCCGCTTGCCGTGAAAATCTGACCCCGAAAAGCATAAACCTTTCGGAGTAGTGCCTCGGACGACTGCTAGATTCTCGGCTCCATAAAGCATCGAAGACGCCATGATTGGACCAAACAAAGAAAACCCACAAAGGAGAAAGGGTAAATTTCACTTGGGTAAGTGACTTGGTGCTTGATTAAAGCAGGAAGAGTTCTGGGTGGCGGTCGCTTATCTGATCATTTGAAAGCAGATCCTGCACAGAATAGATTGATTATTATGAGTAGCTAGTAGCGTAAAGGTATACACCAGAATTGAGTACAGGACAAGAGAAGGCCAGAGGAAGAGAAGGAGGAGAAACTCTAGCCTTGAATCTTCTTGGTGCGGGAAGTGGATAGAAGCCCTGATTCTCTGTGTGCGTGTCAAACCAGGAACCACTGATTTTATCACAAAGGAAACTGGAATTATATGTGATTGGGATTCCGGAGAGCTCTGCAAGCAAATTGTGGATGTTCAAGATTAAATTTTTATTTTTTATTCAACAGAATTGAGAAAGTTGTCTGATTTACCACAACTAGAACTCCTTGAACCTATCCACAACTAATTAAAAGTTTAAGACTCAAATCTATTCATAATTCCCTTAAGAAATCATTAGTCTAGTTGATTAATTAAACACACAAAATTGGTAAAGAGTAAGTTGATACCAAGTATTCACTGAATCATTGTTGATTTTTCAAAAATACCAACTAATCTCAACTTAATCTATAAAAATTAGGATAAACCAAATTATTATATATCAATTTAAACTCACAAGGTAGAGTATGTTTTTACAGGGACAATACCTTCTTTCACAACATCAAAGCTTAAACATGTTTGTGATTAACTTCTTTTTTTTCTTCACATTTCGATTTTTTTTTTAAAAAAAAATGCAAATTTTTTTTTTAAAACATCTTGATTACTTTAAAAATGGTATTTAAAGTAGTTATGAAATGATTAAATAAGCAAATTTTACACCAAGAAAATGAAAGAAATAAGATATCAGGTAAGTAAAAAAGTTAAGAAGATCGGATTTCATGTATTTCTCTTGTCGTAACGAAGCAAAGTAGAATTTGAATAGTCTTGATAGTAGCTCAAGTTTTTTCTAATGAATCTTTTTTTTATATGTATTCATAAATATATTTATTTGAAAAAAAAAATTCCACGTGTAATAATGATTTTATGAAATATTAAGAGAATTATGTAGACAAGTGTATCTTTTACGAGCATAAATTAATTTTTTTCCTCAATATACTTTTTAATAGATATTAAGTTGTGTTGTTTTTATTAGTGTAGTTTACCTAATAAAAAATAAACAGTAAAATGTAAAAATAAAAAAATAAAAAAAAATAAGCACCCACGAAAGAACATTGAGATTTATTATATTAATGATATAAACTAAAGTGTACATAGCTTATCCAAATTAAATGTTATCAAAAATATATAAATACAAATTTAATTTACTCCAGACATAGTTTAAGAAAAATAAATCAAGATATTATTTTTTTAATTTTAAATTATTATATATGTTTAAATATATACGGAAATGTGAATATATATATATAATCCATGACTCTTTTTTTTTTTCCAATTCAATTGGTATTGGATTGTTATTATTATTATTATTATTTTATTTAAATATTAATATTAATTTGATCAATATTGCACATACTTTTAACCCAAAAAAAAAAATTATGTATTAGACAAATTCAAAAATTTTGTGACATTTATTGATTTGGTTTTTATTATTTACATTGGAAAGTCATTATTTTGTAGTTATTATGTTATACTTTTCAATTTTTTTTTTCAAAAAAAAAATTGATTTATATATAAATATAAATGTTTTAAGGGTTTATTTAAGAAAGTGTATTTTATAAAATATAATATGTTATATGTCAATATTTTATATTTATATTTAAAATTGTATAACCATTTACCATAACATTATTTATTATTGAAGTCATTAGAGATATCAGTGGGATAGTTTTAGAGGAAAAATGGTATCTGGGTTTTATGAAATCTTTGAGAAATCGAAAAAAAAAAAAAAAAGCTTTGTCACCAAGTAAGAATGAATATCATATGGTCGTGGTAGAAAATTCTTTGGCTATAAATCAAGGTATTCGGGAAGAACAGGTTGTTCCAATTTGATACCGCCAAAAATTCCCGACTATCGCATGGGAAGAAGTATTTTTCCTTTCCAATAGTTTTATATTGGAGCTTCGCTCGTTCCTTTATCGAGCATAATGATGCGATGTAAATCGGGTTTTAATGAATTCTAATATGCAACGTCGGGATATGTGAGTAAAGATCAGGAGAGGAAAATCAATCATGCTCACTTGTAATACTCTGATAATTTACTATTGAATATTTTTTTTTATAATTTATTGTTATTTTAGTTGTTTAAGTGTTAAGATAACTTATCTAATTGTGATATAAGATACGAAAGATCACATCGTAATAAGTGTTAAATTTCAAAAAGTAATTCGGACTATTTATACAAAATACTATTAGAAATTCTGAGTATCAATCAATGTAATAATAAAAATTAAAACATTCATTCAAACTTCGGTTTGCCGTTACAACGTATAAACCAAAAACTAAATTAAAGTAACTTAGGTATTATACTATGGTAGCTAGATACAGTTAAAACAGTTGGTAAAAACAAAATACAGAATGGTATTGATCCCAACTGTAATACTACTGGATCCTTTTGAACTTACTTGTTTAGCAAGGAAGAGATACATGGTTGATGAGTTCACTAAATTATTCTACTTGATTGTTGACTTTGAATCTTAATTGCCAGCTTCCAGTCTTCTTTAGAAGGAATCTGTGAGATTAGAGAAGCCAAACCCATGACAAGATTACAAAGAATTTCAATTGGGTTCCCCACAAAATATTAGTTTTTTGCTTTTATGTTACTGTAATTGGCCTTGGAAATGTCACTCCTAAAGCTTTAAAACAATGGAGTTGGACGGGGAATTCCATTGCTCATTCTATATAATCATTGTATTAACCGCCGCAGAAAACAACCAGACAACTTGATATATTCAGCACTTGTTCTCCTAATTACTTCTGTATCCCAGTACAGTGCTAAATCTACGAAACCCAAGTATGTAATTATTAAGGGCAGTTGTGTATTCTCATCCAGACTTCCTAAACAGAGGTTACAATCAATGACATTTCCTAAACATGCTGTAAGCAAGAACGAAACCAAACAACAAAACATTATATAAGCGGTTTATAGGAGCATTCCCAAAGCTTAATTCTACTTTGTTCGAAAAATCGAATCGAATTTAATAAACTACTCAGGAATTGAATCTGACTCATGGATTCACTTCCGAAGAACCTTTTACCGGACGAGGCAAGCCCACCATGGTTAAACAAAGGAGACAACGCTTGGCAGCTCACTGCCGCCACGCTAGTGGGCCTGCAGAGCGTGCCAGGTCTGGTGATCCTTTACGGTAGTATAGTGAAGAAGAAATGGGCTGTGAACTCGGCGTTCATGGCCCTCTATGCTTTTGCGGCAGTTCTAATCTGCTGGGTGTTGTGGGGTTACCGCATGTCATTTGGGAGCAAGTTCATTCACTTCCTAGGGGTGCCAAACCTGTCTTTAGACGAGAAGTTTGTTTTGGATCAGGCATTTCTTGGGTATTTGCCTAATGCCACAATGATTTATTTTCAGTTCGTGTTTGCCGCAATCACGATGATTTTGATAGCCGGAGCATTGCTTGGGAGGATGAATTTTCTAGCTTGGATGTTGTTTGTGCCGCTTTGGCTCACGTTTTCATACACCATTGTTGCTTATAGTATATGGTGTCCTGACGGGTGGCTGTCCGAGATGGGTCTCATTGACTACTCCGGAGGCTATGTCATCCATTTGGCTTCTGGTGTTGCTGGCTTCACTGCTGCTTTCTGGGTAAACTTTATATTATCAGAAATTTGAAATGCAGTTTTATTAATCAGATTATTTTTTAAGAAAACACTCGTGAAGAACGATTGAGTTAATTATAAGATGATGTGATTAATGAAAGGTTGGGCCAAGGATAGCAAAAGACAGAGAGAGGTTTCCACCAAACAACATCTTGTTGATGTTGGCAGGAGCAGGCTTACTGTGGATGGGATGGACAGGATTCAACGGCGGAGATCCTTACACTGTCAGCACTGACGCATCTCTTGCCGTTCTCAACACCCACGTCTGCACCGCTACAAGTTTGCTCACCTGGCTCATCCTTGACATTCTTTTCTTCGGGAAACCTTCGGTCATCGGTGCCACCCAGGGCATGATTACTGGCCTAGTTTGCATCACGCCCGCTGCAGGTGCATAACATTCCTCACCTTTTCTTCTCTAATTACTATAAATCTCGAATATGACGAATCAAAGATTTTAACTTTTGCTTATGATGATGATGATGATGATGATCCTCGTCATAATCAACAGGAGTAGTTCAAGGATGGGCAGCTATCCTGATGGGGATAATGTCAGGTAGCATGCCATGGTTCACCATGATGGTGCTGCACAAGAGGATAAAGTTGCTTAAACAAGTCGACGACACCATGGCAGTGTTCCACACTCACGCCGTGGCAGGCTCCCTGGGCGGTGTCCTGGTGGGATTCTTTGCAGAGCCCAAGCTCTGCCGGATCTTTTACTTGGTAGACAACTGGGAGCACTACATTGGCTTGGCCTACAGCTTGCGAGACGGGCGTCCAGGCGCTGGGTTCAAGCAGATGGGGATCCAGATGCTGGGAATTGTCTTTGTGGTGATTGTCAATGTGGTGATGACCAGCATCATTTGCGTGTTGATCAGGTTTGCAGTGCCACTGAGGTTGGCGGAGGATGAACTGCAAACTGGGGATGATGCCATTCACGGAGAAGAAGCATATGCATTGTGGGGAGATGGGGAGAAGTACGAGTCGAGGCACAATTCTGTTTACGGCGTAGATGAGTTCCCTGTCGCACCGCCTAGTAAAATGGGTGAGCTTGAAATGGCTTGAGATCTGGTTCTCCACACCCTCACACTCCATTATCTATACACACTGATCACAATTTCTATTACTGGGTCAGTGGTTTTGATGAATCTGATTATCAGTCCCTTTGTAAATCTCATTACATCTAGAGACTCCTGAGGTTGATTGATCCATCCATGGCTTTTATACTCAACCACGAACAAGAGTGAAATTAGAGACAGGCACAAAGTATAGTGTAAATTTGCTTACCCATCTTACCAGAGAAAACATAAACTTGCACCTATCTTATACCTACATGGGATAAAAAGTTCTTTACTCCCTTCTCCATGAGTAAAATTTTTTGCCCTCCAGTCACCCCACTTACCAATTTTTTAATTATAAAAATATTATAAAATATTTAATTAAAAATTTAAAGTATTAATCAAAATTATCTTTAATTAAAGCAGAATATAATTTAAAATAATATTAAACATAATTTACTCAACAATAAATATAAAATAACATTATCCTTATATCTATAAGAACCGAACCATATACTCTTGTCGTTTATTTGATAATGGCATTTGTTCTTTACATCATATTTAGATTAATTTTAATAATAAATAATTATATATGACAATAATATAAAATAATAATAACCTAAAATTATATATTTAAAAAATTGTGTATTAATATATGTTAATTATAATTATTTATTTGAATGATAGAATGATATAATTGTATTTTCAGTTAAATTACTAATATACTCTTACCTATTATACGTAATAGTAAATAGCATATAAAAAATATGTAATAAAAAAATAAATTATACAAAAATATAATTAAATTTATATTTAAATAAATAATTATTATACATAATCAAATTAAATTTTTATATTTAATAAAATAAATAATTATTATTTATATTATCGTATTAATTTAATTTTAATAAAAATAAAATTATTTATATATTAAAAATAAATAATTATAACTATATATTATTATATTAAATCTAAAATTATTTTAATAAATAAAAAATTAAAATGTGTTTGAAATAATCATATATTATGAATTAATTTGAAAAAATGAGAAAATAAATATGGTGTTTTATTTGAGGGTGTAACTGGAAGTATATATATTTTGTGAGAGCATAATAAAAAAAAATTACCTATTGATCACATACCATCGATTTAATAGTTTTAAAATTCAATCCAAATTTGTTAATCGAATACCGTTTGTTATCATCTCATCCGATTGTAAATTGAAACAAATATAATTTCTCGCGTCCGCGAAGTATCATACATTAATTAATTATTATTTATCACGATCCACACAGGGTGCTGGAGTTGAATGCTTTTACACATGTGAAAATGGGTGAGCCATGTCACCGCAGCCCGATTTGACTGCGTAAGTTGGCTCAGCCCAGCCATAGACAGGCTCATTGTCGATCAAGCTTCTTCTAGGCCCAACTAGCCATTTGAGCTGGGCTTAAACCGGCTCGCGTACTTGATAATTTTAATTAATTTTGTTAATATTTTGGTTATTTTCAACTCTTTTATTATGATTTTTTTGTTAATTTATTGTTTACTAATAACTACTTATTTTATAATAAAAAAATTATTTTTGATCATCATACCAAAGGGGAAAAAATCAACTGAAAATATTAAAGATTTATTCCCCTAACTGTCCTAAAATATTTTATTTTTTCTCTTATATATAACACCAGACTTATAAGACCCTAAGTATTTTCTAAATTTACACAAGACTCTACAGATTGTGCTAATATGAATCTTAAGTTAACATTCTACCGTTTTTAGAGACAAACCGAAGACAATTGTCGATGCAAAGCTTAGGAACATCGAATCACTAAAATAAGAAAAGCACAGCAGAAGGTCATCAATATTAAAATTAGAGGGATCCGAATCACCTCAAAATCGCACAACTGAAGGATTCGAAGATATCAATCTAGAAAATTTGAAGCAAAGATAGAAGGTACACTGGAATTCGATGCAGCAGAACTGATGTTGATTATCTTCATTCGCCGTATGGTTATTTTATCTTTAGGGCGATTAATCAAATATATATGCATCAAAAGCCGCACATGCAGCAATTTCCATAGCAGGATGTTAGATACCAAAAGTGAAGTAAAATGATCACAAAAACTGAAGTGAAGGTAAAACGTTTGTGAGAGCTCTCGTGCGGACGCTGAAAGCAACCGGGGAAACATGCACTGGAGGAGTAAGATATCTTGAATCTAGTACCGGGAGAAAAGATGATCGACATGGAACAAGAAGTTCTTGGCATAAGATGCGGGTTCTCAATTTACAAGTTCTCCCCAAATGGTATTAAATTAGTCCTCTATGGAGGACCGTGGATGATGTTTGGCACTTACCTTACTATCCAAAGGTGAAAGCCAAATTTTCAGCCAGAAACCACCTAAATTCTTTCAATT